AATAAGAAAGAATATTACGTGAAATAAGAAATAAAATATCCCCCCATCCCCCCATATATTATTCCGAATGCGTTGAGCCTACGTAGCTGCTTCTAGTGCTTCGTAATTCTATTTGGCCAAGAATGATGCTTCGTAATTTAGTTTGGACAAATAATATTGATATATTAATAATTAATAATCTAGGTTCGGACATTCCATAAATATTATTTCGCTAACTTAAGTATTTTAATATCACTTGTAGTAATATAACCTTTTAATTCTTTGTAATTTTACATAGCGTGACACTAAGTGACTAATATATCCCTGACTTTTGATTTGTTTCCTTTAATTAGCTATTGAATTGTAAATGTATTTTAAAAGTTGATAACTTTTGTATTTCTTATTGGTTTTACATATATAACTAGTGCGTGGCACGTGCGATGCACGAGAAAACAATATTACGATTGTAATATAAATTAAATATACAAATAAATTAATCAAGATTTACCGTTTTTAAATTAAACCGTGTTGGATACAGTCCGACCGGACCGAGAACAAGTTTATAATCAGTCTAGTTCACTTGAATAAAATATTTGCTTTTGAATCAACATCAGTCGGTTGAACTGGTTGGATCGATACGATTTTCTAAATAAATTTGGTTATATTTAAAATTATTTTAAATAAAATTAGATATTTAAATAAAATAGAGATTTATAAATTTGTATATCAATTAATTTAAACATTTGAATTTTTAAATTGATTAGATATTTAAGTAACACATTATATTCAAATTTATTACAAAAGCTATTATATATATATATAAACCATGCAATTTATTTTTAAAAATACTTTTAATATATATATATATATATATATATATATATATATATATATTAAAAAGTATTTTTAAAGAAAAAAATAAATTGCATGATTTTTATAAATTAAATTATATGATTTTATTAAAGCGTATTAATAAATTAAATTGTATATTTTTTAAAGAAAAAAATAAGAAAAATAATAAAACTATTATTTATGGGTAACATTAAATGCTGGCTTATTTTTTTGCTACTAATTTTAGTAAATATGATGGCTCTTTATATAAGTATAGATATATCAAATTAATTCTCTTTTGATGATCTTCGATTTGACATCCATATTGTATATATAAAATAAATAAATTATATTTATCTTTATAATAATAAAAAACAATAATATTTAATAAAATTCATTAGAAAAATAAAATTACTTCTCAATTGATATATTTATGTTTAATATAGTTATATGTTGTAAGTTAAAAAAATTATTATAACATAACACAGGTAAGTCGCACAAATAAAAAGTGTCGTACTAAATATATAATAATATATATATATATATATTTATATAAGGTATTTAAATTTTCAACTACTTTTTTCTCATTAATTTTAGATTTAAAAAAAAAAATTAGCAAGCACCCGTGTAATACACGAGTGTTGTACTAATAAAACAATACATGGCAATCATGAAAATTGACTTGAATTTTTTACAAAGATAATTATGTGTGTGTGTGTGTATGCACGGGCAATTTATATATTAAAAAAAACAAGTGGGCAAAAAAAAAAAAAAGAGAGTTGACCAACATAAAAATCACGTATTTAGAAAATACGTTTTCTTTACTATTTCATTGTAAAACGTATTTTGTGAATACGTTTTACAATTTTTTTACAAAAGAAAACGTATTCACTAAATACATTTTATAATTAAATTGTGCAGAAAACGTATTTATAAAATATGTATTTTTTATTTTGTTCCACTTCCCTTTTTTTCTGTATTTTTTTTTTTTGTCTAGAACTTAATTTTTTTTACGTAAAAAAATCGTGTATGCACACACATTAATTGATTAAAAGGTGGAAAATTAGAAGTATTAAATGTGCTAGTATAATATGTGTTACGGTTAGTGGTGGAGAAAAAGGACGTGTGTAACTGTAAGGCTTGGTTTATCGGTGACCAATGCTTGGGTCATCAGGAAAAGACAAAAAAAAAAAAAAATCAACAAAAATCGTGACCCAGGTCACAATGGAGTAATTTATAAATTTATTAATAAAAAAAAATAATAAGTGGACAAAAAATAAAAAAAAGGGAGTATTGGACCAACATAAAAAGCATGTATTTACAAAATACGTTCTCTGTATAATTTAACTCAAAAACGTATTCACTAAATACGTTTTCACATTTTTTTACAAAGGAAAACGTATTCACGGAATACGTTTTACAATTAAAATGTGTAGAAAACGTATTTATAAAATACGTGTTTTTCATTTGTTTCCACTCCCCCTTTTCCCTTTATTTTTTTGTTTGCAACTTAAGTTTTGATTTTTTTTTTTTTGTGGTAAAAAATAGGTCACAATGTGACCTAGGGTCACAACCGATTGTAGAGGAAATTTTGAGACATTTGTCTCATTTTTATTGAACAAGTGTATTTTTTTTTTTATTTCTAAAAAAATAAAAAATAAAAAAAATCATATTTTTTTATTTTTACAAATAGAGACCACACTTAATATATTTTAGAACACAATTATAAATTAAAAAAAAAATATGTAAGTTGAGTTGAGTTGGAGAGAAAGATAAATTAGGTTGAAATATTGAGTTGTGTATGTGAATGAGAGATAAATAATTTTTAATTATTAAGTTGGGTTGGATTGGGTGAATTTTTTACCAAAAAATTGAAAAATAATAAGGTGTGGAAAAAAAAAATACACAAACAAATGAGAGTGGACCAAATAAAAACCCCGTATTCAGTGAATACGTTTTACCATTTTTTTAATTGTAAAACGTATTCACTGAATACGTTTTATTTTATAAAGAAATCTGAAAAAACATATTTAAGAAATACGTTTTCTACACAAATTGTATGGAAAACGTATTCCTTAAATACGTGCTTTTTATTGTTGTCCACTCCCTTTTTTTTTTTTTT